AAGAAACACCTTGCATATGGATGGTTTTATTTAAAAGTTTTTTCAGTCTGTTTACTGATATAATGTAGGAGGGATTTATTGTTTAATTAAATTAGTGAAATGTATAGGGCAATGATCTTTGTTCATATCCCAAGCCTTTTATGTTACTATGTTGGTTTTCCTATTATATTGTTTCATATTTATATTAAAAATTTGTATTTTCAGAAAAACGTATTTTCTTATTTGCATTTTGTAAATTCACTATAATTTCTAAACAAAAAAAAACCTTTATTTGCATAAAATAATTACTCAGCCGTTGTTGTTTAGTTCTAACAACAGATGTGAGAAAGTAACTAGAATGTTAACATTTCTTTAGATATAAAAAAATTACAAACAACTGTGGTTTTACTAGTAAAACGTTTTACTAAATTTTGTATGTATTTAACTGCCTCATACAGAACGAACAACATGGTTGATCACAACACTACCGTTGAGTAAAAACATTTAATTTGAATAATTCCGTAATAAAATTCCCTGCAGCAATTCTTTTGTGAATTATAAAAGATATAATAAATACGTATAAAACTATTGTTTGCCCGTTATTCTTACCAGCTTTGTTCAGATCCAAGTCGACATGAAAGATGAAATACTTAAATAGTTATGTTAATAGAATTTTTCACACTGTTCTAGTTTAAGTTTTCGCTTTAGATCATAAATCACACTTTCGCTGTCAACAATTTCGGTATTAGAAATTAAGCCATGAAAATAAACCAACTTTTAGTTTAACTTTGTAATAATTAATTGTTGTTTGCGGCTGCTATAAAAATACAAAAAGTAGTTAAGATAAATGTATTCGATAAAGTTTAAGGTCTCATAGTATTAAGGACCTGGGTATAAAAACCAAATTAATGATAAATCTTTTGGAATTCTGTTCATAGCAAAAGAGATTCATCTTGATTCTAGAATACCAAATAGGGTACATTCGAATGGCAGAAGTTTCAAAAACCCGCAAGAGATTTACAGAAAGTGAGGTATTAACGTATGGTCCAAAAGTTTTGGGAAAAAAATCAGATGCTAACAACTTTTATAAAAATATTTTTATAATCTTAAATATTCACACAATATGTCTAACTATTCTTATTACTAACTAAAGTTTAAATAATCGAGAAGGGACCGTTTTAAACAAGATTTTTGCCACATATAGACTTTTAACAGTATTTTTTTCTTTAAAATTTACATTTTAGGGGACTAAAACAAGATAATTACGTCTTATCGGGTTTTGGCTGTATTGTTTATGATATTTGTCCAATTGGGGAACTAAAACAAGATAACTACCACTTATCGGATTTTGACTGTATTGTTTGTGATATTTATACATGTAAGACCTATGCTAACATACGCTGCAGTTGTCTGAGTACCGAAAACCTACAAATTAACACCTATCCGTAAACTAGAATAAATTCAAAGAATAGCATGTCTCAACATAATAGGAGTCATGAAAACAACACCGACTGGAGCCATGGAAGTCATTCTTAGTCTCACTCCCCATGATCTTTACATCAAGTAGGTTGCTCTGACGACAATAACATGCCTCCGCACGGTCGGAATAGAACCTGCTGTAGGATCTGGTGAAGCGAGACGTCGCTTGTGGCAGGAGGCGCTCGATACGCTCCCACTGCTTCAAGCGAACATGGACTCCATCTCACCGAAATATATCTTTCATAAGCCATATAAAGTTATAATAGAACAAATAGAAGAACCGGAAGTAGCAGGTACGATTCATATCTACACCGACGGTTCTAAAACAAAACAATGCTCAAGATGTGGAATATACTTCAGATTCTTAAACCTAAACATAAAATGGGCTGTGAGCAATAGTGACAGTGTAGTTCAAACAGAGCTAACGGGGATTCTCATAGCAGCAAAAGAAATAACCAGAAACAATATCACTGGAAGGAACATGCTTATCTATACAGATAGCAGACAAGCACTACTCATCCTGAACAGACCACGAATTTATTCAGGGTTAGTACTAGAATGTCACGAAGCTTTGACCGAAGTATCCATCAACAATGTTGTATGGATTAAAGGTCACGCCACATCGAAAGATAACCGTCTTGTTGATTCACTAGCTAAAAAAGCAGCTAACCAAATACTTTTTGGACCTCACCCTTCTATTGGCCTGACAAAATCGGTAGTGACAGACCTAATCAAAGAACATTCCTTGTGAAATTCAAGGAAAGATGGGATGAAACAAGAAACTGCAGAGTTGCCAGGGAGCTCTTAAGTTACCCTGACAACACCACAGCAAACAAATACTTGACTATGACTAGACAGAATCTGCGCCTAGTCACAGGCATTCTGACTGGTCATTGCCAAGTATGAAAGCATATCCATATCATGGGTCTGTCAGAATCCGTACTCTGCAGAGGGTGCGAACAAGAAGATGAAATTATCGAGCATATCCTTTACGATTGCTCGACGCTCTCATTTATTAGAAGATTTGTGTTCGGCGAGTATCGGCCGGTGTTAGCCAGAGAAACACCTCTTGGCGACGTTGTCAACTGCATTAAATCTTTAGGCTGGCTCACGAGCTGGGAGGTGTCTATCATCTCAGGAGGATGTGCCGTGGGGTAACCCATCCTTCGCACGTTACAGATACAGATACTTTAAGGTTCCGACCATTACTTTCTTTTCTGTATTGTTCTTTCTTCTGTGTCATTTATGACATAGATCCTCCCAATGCTGCTTTTTACTATTTTTGGACAGAATTAAATGGAAAGAATGAGGGTAGTTTGGAAATTGGTATATTTTTAGATGAATATCTAAATCAGCTATCTGAGAATGTTTCAGAATTGTCACTGTTTTCGAAACAATCCAAGTTTACAGGTAATAGAACAAAAATTTCTAAAAAGTGGTCATAGCTATATGGAAGTAGATAGTATGCACAGTGCAATTGAAAAAGCTCAAAAATGTGAACCTGTTTATACTATCCACGACTGGTTAACCATTTTTCGCATGGCCAGAACATCCAGGTCTAACAAAAAGTTCCTTAATGTTAAAGATCTAAAATATGGAGATTTCTTTGATTTAGAAAAGTTAGTTGAACAGGTAATGAAAAATAAGCTGAAAAACTTTATGGGATAAAAAGTTAATTGGTTGAAAGTCAAGTGCTTTAGGTATCTGAAAAGTAAACTTTGGGTTTTAGAATATACTTCGAAGTACAAGAAAATACATGTTTTGGGTAAATGCCGCCCTCTAAATGAAATTAAAATCACAAAACCATACAATGTAGGCTCATTTCGGTTAAGAAATAACAAGACCTACTAAAATTGTGTAAAAGTGATGTTATCCCTAATAAAGTATACAAGTGATCTAAATTAAAAATTTAAAAAAACCGACTTCAAAAACGTGCAGATGCCGTCAGCACATCTTATCCAAATTTATATGTGGCCATTCCTGAGGTACCTCATTACTAATAAAAAAGAGAATCATATAAATAGGACAAGGTCGTAAAGCATTATCGCTAAACATACATGAAAAATAAAGAATTTGAGAAATTTCTCATGGACCCAGTTATCAGATTTTGACCAAATTTATATGGGACCACCCCTGAAGTACCCGCTTTCTAACAAAAAAAGAATCATTGAAATCGGACACCGTGTTAAAGAATTATTGCTGAACATACATAAAAAATGAAGAGTTTGAGGATTTTCTCATGGACCCAATTATTAGATTTTGACCAAATATATATGGGACCACCCCTGAAGTACCCTCTTTCTAACAAAAAAAGAATCATTGAAATCGGACACCGTGTTAAAGAATAATCGCTGAACATACATAAAAAAAAAAAAATATCGCGACGAATTGATAACCTCCTTTTTTTTGAAGTCGGTTAAAAAGAACCATCAATATTACAAATCCTTGTCTACCTCTAAAGAGGTAAAAGATTTAGTTACAGAGCCAGCAGCTGAAGATTTTGATATAGAAGAGCAGGATAAATGAAACAAAACAGGTACTCATACATCCAAAAGAAAATAAGTTCACAAAAAACGTTTATTTTTTGCTAAATTCTTTGGGAGTGTTTAAGTTTTATTATAAATGTATTTACTGTTTAATATCCAATTGTATTCAAATTCAGTTCCCAAGTAAAAACGGAGTGTTTCTTTTATACCTGATTTTTCCTCAAATGTTAATATTTTAAACATTACTAACTCAAAAATATAAAAATATAACTTATCTTGTTTTGACAGTAACCCGACGATTATGTTAATTTTAAGCTAAAACATTTTTCTGACGTTTCTAAGAATATATTTTTATTTGGGGTCAAATTGACCCCTTAATGCTGAGTATGTTTCGAAACATACGTATGCACTTTGAAGATTAACAAAATCGTTTTTTACGAGTATTTAACCGTATTTAAGTAATACGGTGACTGTCGCACAGAATGAAGAACGTTTTTACATTGTTCTAATATTCGCGAATATATGGTGTAGCATTCTTTTAAGACACGCGAGATAGTCATGCAGTAATTATAGAGAAATAAGCGATTATTAACGTCCGTCTGGTTGTTATTAATCATTATTAGCGTTCGAAAACAACGGTTAACGAAAATTAATAAGAAAAAAACCAGCGGAGCACAAAAGCCACTGGCCGAGAATATCGAGAGCTCTTGCAAGAAAATGAAAAAATTGTGCATTTTGTCCTAAGGATTATTTTTTCTGCATTGCATGGTTGATTTCAAAGTAGTATATTCTTCTCGACATCTATATTTACAATTTATCATCACAAAAATTACTGGAAGGTCTTGACATAAATCTTAACATAAATCACCTTTTCCAAAAATGCTTGCTAAGGGAGCTAGAGCTCTAAATCATCTCGTAAACTGTAAACTAATCGTTTTATAATCAATTTATGAAATTATAGTGAATATTTATATATACATAATTACTGTTAAGAATAAATAATTATGAACTGATTTTTCCACGAAGTTATAAAGCAAATTTTTGATATTTTTTCAGGTATCGAGTGAAAACAGAGTAGTATCCACTATCAAAATGTAATTTTCGTGAAACTACTCCAGTGAAATCCAATCAGCATGCCACAAACTGTCTTGAGAGGATTTGGTCATCACAACCATCAGAACACTCACAATCACAACGGTCATATAGTACAAAACGGACATAACGGTTTTATATCCAACGGTCACAACGGTTATAACAGTCATCACGGACATACTGTACATATCAGTGCTCATAATAACGGACATACTGGATATAATGGTCATAACAATCACGGTGGATTTAACTATAATGGTCATCCGACGATTTACCAGCAAAATGGACATGCTAAGACCAACGGACATACAGGTATGTTATCTGTCAAATTTTATAAAAATTTACTTTCTTTGAATTTACTTTACCGTATTTAAATTTACTTTATCATTTTTGAAAACAAAATTTGCAGCAAAATACTCATTTGTTAGTAGATATAAGACATGTCACGAATATGGTAGGTTCACGAACAGATATTTAATGAAACCACATGGAGGGTCAGGTTCTCTCTCCACTATTGGAGCTAGTGACAGATAAACTGCAAAGAACTGAACAATCAAGGATATGCTGATGAAATAGAGATATTTATCCGATGAAAACAGCAAACCACAATCTTTTTGCATTCAAAGAGGCATGAAGCCTTATGTCTGCAACAGGGCCGCCGAGAGCCAGGTCGGGCCCCAGGACAATTTTCCAGATCGGGCCCCGCGACAATTTTATAGAAAATAGAAAAAGGTTTTCCAGCAAAAACTTCTCCTCCTCTACTTGAATTTCTCTAAAAAAAATGTCTTCAAACAAAAACTTCTCCTCCTATTTACTGAGTTTCTCAAAAAAAAGTCCTGAATCTCTCTAAAAAAAAGGTCATCAAACAACAACTTCCCCCCTCTTGTGCCTAACTTCTGAAAGTAAAAAAAGACCTCGCCACAATTGCCGGGCCCCCCTTATACCGCTGCCGGGGCCCCATTTGAGCCCGGGCCCTAGGAATTAGTCCCGGCTGTCCCCCCTCTTGTCGGCCCTGGTCTGCAACATAAGGCGGAAGAGTATGGTGCATAAGGGAAAACCTTTTCTTAAAACTAGTTTCTAACTTCAGATCTATATGAAATAAGAACATTTGTATCATCAGAATATAAAATTAGCATTAACATTAACAGATATTGTCTAAGTCGTTTGTATAAAACAAAAAGAGTATAGGTCCCCGAATGGATCATTGTAAGATACACATAAAATAACGAAGTTAGTTAAGTTGCCTAGAGTTAATTTTATTTTAATTTAAGAGAGCATATTCGATTATATGTATACCCAGAAATTGGCCAAAATACAAATTAATTTATTCTCCATAAAGTATTAATACCCATCTTACGTGGGATACGGTATATAATGCGTATTTTCCTTCGCTTGTCCTTGATATAATTACATTGTAGTTTCCTTGAAACCTACTCATCAGCACGTATTTTTTCTAGAGTAAACAAAATGCCCCATATTCACTGCTCCTATCGTATACCAAACCTGCATATCATTCCTTTTTTCGTGCTTATCAGCAACGGACGAAATTATATTTAAAAGTGAATTTAAAAATTAAAAATACTAAAACGCGCTCATTTTTCTTAAGATCGGGATAAAAATAGTGCAAAACAAAGTTGCTAAGGCAGTTAGGTGAAATACTTACAGGAACAAATAAAAAGAGTATAGCTCTGACGAAGAATCAACAGGTAGGCTGTTATTATATTTCATCATTAACATAAAATATTGTTTATACAGGGAAAAACGTACGTTATCCCTTCTAAATATCGAAAATAAACTACTTTATTTTATAAAACAATGCAATTATATTTTAAAATAATTATAATTATTATAATTATAATAATTCGTTTTGGTTCGTTTACCAATCAATATTTTAAGCATATTTTATATTCGTTAACATCAACAAAGCACTAATGTGTTCCCTCGAAATATCCCATAAATAAAGTTTGTTTGGATATCGTATTATACAACATCGCTGTCGTCGTCATATTTCTTGCATTTGAAAAAATCGTGATAAAAATAAAATAATATCTTTTAAAATACCGGGCGGTATTTTCTAAGAGAAAATCCAGCAATTTCATTGAGACGAAATATTCATTTAATCTTGTCTTTTATCATCATATTGTTTAAATTAATAAATGGACGTTCCTCATTCTTGCATAAATATAGATCATTAGGAAGTGGAGCGATTCTTGATGATTTGCCTAATTTGACTTATACAGGGAAGAACGTGTGTTACCCCTTCTGAATACTTTTGCAATAATGGGGCATGTTCAAAAATTTTGAAATTTTTTTTATGAATAGTAGAGTTAAACATAAAACTACATTTTTTTTATTTTTTTTATCTATTCATTTGCCGGAGTTATGAATTTTTTTTAAAATTTATGACGTCACCGGGAATAGACCAATAGGAGCTAGCGCACAACGTTGCCGGCTAGAAGGTTTACGAGAAGTGATGTACGTTCGTTTGTGTACTCCTTCTTACTTTTAGACTTCTAAAACATAGTTAAACAAATATCTTTTAAATATATAATATCAAATGTTTTTTGAAAGTATTATTTCTGTTTAAACTTTTACCATATTTAAAGTTTCATTGTTTTAAAAGTCACTTAATAATTCAGAAAATGGCAAAATGGCAGCACTGTGTATGGCATCTGTCATCATAGTGTCTCGATCAAGAATTTATTTGGAATTTGAGTGTTTAATTTTGTACTGATTATTTAGAATAACTTGTATAGCGACTAACTATTACAATATAGTTTATAAAACAGCATATCTCACATGTGAACATGGCCCATTCTATGTAAAAATAGTATCTTTTAAAATACCGGGCGGTATTTTCCAAGAGGAACTCGAGTGATTTCATTGAGACGAAATATTCATTTAATTTTGTCTCTATGACCCTACGTTTTGAATTAACAGAATAGATGTTTGCTATACTTGTATAAATATAGATCATTAGGCAGTCGAGAGATTCTTGATAATTTTTCTGTTTTTATGGACTTATTCAGATAAGAATGTTATCCCTTCTAAATATTTTTGTACTAATTCTAAGTAAAAATAATATCTTTTAAAATACCGAGCGGTATTTTCTAAGAGGAAATCGAGCGATTTCATTGAGACGAAATACTTATTTAACTTTGTCTTAACCCTACTGTTTGGATTAAGCATAATTAGACCTTCATTATTCTTGCATATATCTCATTAGGAAGTCGGACATTTTTTGATGATATTAGTTTTTTATTTGCATTTATACAGGGAAGAACGTGTGTTATCCCTTCTAAATACTGAAAAAATAATGCGATTTTCTCAGTAATTTTATTCAAAAATAATGTATTTTAAAATACCGGGTGGTATTTTCTAAGAGGAAATCGAGCGATTTCACTTGAGACGAAACACTCATTTAACTTTATCTTTTAGGTTCCTACTTTATGAATTACGCAGAATAGACGTTTACTATTCTTATATAAATATAGATCATTAGGAAGTCAAGCAATTCTTGATAGTTTTTCTGTTCTATGGATTTATACAGGGATAGATGTGTTATCCTTTCTGAATAAACAATTATTAGTTTTCTTTGACTAATAAATGTTTTTAAAATGCAGTGGGATCTTTCCTCCTAAAATTCTGAGCGGTACCTTAAAGCAATCGAGCGATTTGCGATTTTATTAAGACGAAAAAATATTATCTTGTCTTTATTGGTCCTACTGTTTGAGGTAATAAGTAGACTATAGACGTAGAGAACATATCATTAGAAAGTCGAGCGACTCTTGATGATTCTTCTGGTTTTTTGGGTTTCAATGTAAATTATTATAAAAATAGAAAATACAACCAGATTGCAATGTTACTCTTTATGAAGAAATCGTTGTTCGTTAGAATTAATTTGTCAAATGGTATGACCAGTGGATCAGCAAAAGAACTTTTTAATAATTACAAAATTCCGGCTAACGGTAAAACTCTAGAACGAAATTCAAGCCTGCTTACCAAAACCAGCGCAGGAACACGACCGATTTATCACAAAATTTAGGCATAAGTCTGTCAATTATTCTCATTCATTTTTTAGCTAGTAAGTAGTTATAAAATTAGCTATAAATGTAAATATTCGTTTAATTAATTACGTTTATAATGTTTACATAAACAATTATTCAGAAAATCACCTTTTCTTACTCTGAACATCTACAATGTAATTATATCAAGGACAAGCGAAGGAAAATGAAAAAATTAATCGACTTACCTTAAGGAAGATTAGTTGTAATTTTCCGAGCTTGTCCGTAGATATAATTATTTCCCATCCCACCCTAATATATGTGGATGCATATTTAGTTCCCAGATATAAGGTGATTTTCGTAACACGCACTTCAACGGAATGATATGCAGGTTTGGTATACGATAGGGGCAGTGAATGTGGGGCGTTTTGTTTACTCTAGAAAAAATCCGTGCTGTAAATTTCAAGGAAACTACAATGTAATTATATCTACGGACAAGCTCGGAAAATTACAATTAATCTTCCTTAAGGTAAGTCGATTAATTTTTTAATTTCATCTATACCAGAAGTTTTATTTTTTATTTCATTATCGACTCGTATTCTAAAAATAGAAACAAAATTAAGGAACGTCTAGATATTCTGAGATCTGCTAAAGTTGTATACAATTTCTGTCTCTATTGGTTTGTAACGAGCTTTATAAAAATTTCCTCAGTATTAATAAATAATAGTTTTAAAGTAATTTTTCTAATAACACTAATTGTTTAACTAACATCTGTTTTTCAATCAACACCAGAACAATAATTAGATGTAGCGTTGCAGAAAAAAATGATTTTATTAATTACAAGTAAACGAGAAAGTGCCACACTTGCCAATCCAGATTGGAATAATCATTATTTTTTTTTCATTCTTTTTTCTCGCAAATAACTATAATTTGAAATTCGCTATATAGGAAGTGGCTCACCTCAGGTGATCTAACTAATCACCGGCTGATATTTCGATGGGTAATTACGCGATGCATAACTAGTAATTAAATTCATTACGATCGACTTATTGGAAAGATTTAAACGAAATGCGTTACATAGGCGTCTGCGTAAAACGTTTTCCAAGGGTCTCAGATGCAAGGAAGTTAAAAAATGTGCATCTAATATTCTAAACTAAGTTGTGTAACCTGGGCTTTAGGATATATCAATAAATGTCAAGAAAAAATTAGTTATAATGTAGTTATTATTTATTTTAAACAACGTTTATATTTCCATAATAAAATTAGAAATTCTTTAATCGCCATGCACCTGACTCTAGCTCATAAAAC